GATACCCTTAAAAAAAAAAAAGACACCCTTCCCTTCCTTGCTTGCTTAGGCCTAGTTTGAAAAAAAAAAAAAAAAAAAAGAATTAGTTTGAACGCGCCCGCTTTCTCAATTGGTTAAGCTACTCACCGAACGTGAGAGAAATGTAAGCAATGGAGAACGTATCTGACTCAAGAAAGCTGGAACATTCATCCGCTATAGCTTTCGTCTTTTTCGCATTCGGCAAGTGGTGCGGCGAGGCCTGATTAACCACCATAGCCGCGGAGGACCACGCCATGTCAATCGGACAACGAAGGGTCCGAAAGACGTCCACATACAATGAATTTAAGGACAGCGTGAATGAATACAAAACATTCATCCACGTTAGTTGTGCCAATAGCGTTGGGAAACGTCCATGTTGGCAGTAGAACAGCGTCCGGAAGACGTCCACATACAATGAATCTGAGGACAGGGTCCACGTCAGCCGTACGATAGCATCCGTGTACAAGCAAGCAGATATATCATTTCAACAACAAGTACATTAGATGTCTGAATCTGATGGTGCATACATGTAGTACCTGTACCCACACCACAGAGAGAGAGAGAGAGAGAGAGAGAGAGAGAGAGAGAGAGAAGGACAGGGTCCACGTCAGCCGTACGACAGCGTCCCGGGATAAGCATGCGGACCCACGGGGAAAGGCACGCGAGAAGGTCCTCCACGTGGATGATGTGCGCAGCCACAGGGATAGGCGGATGTGTGCAGCAGCCAACGGGGAAAGGCGCGCGAGAAGATCCCCATGTTAGACTGACGAGCACTGCGGAGATGTCATCCGTAGGCAGCATCCAACAGCGTCCACGTCAGCGGTACGAGCGCTGTCCCAAGACGTCCATGTCAGCTGCACGCACAACGTCCAGGTTAGCCATACGGACAACGTCCACCTGAGCCATCCACGTAAGTCGTATCGGCGTCTGCAGGGTTTCAGGCCTAAACCCTAAACCCTAAGCCAGGGTTTAGGGACCTTTTTTGGCACTAGAAAATTTTGGCACTAGAAAATTTTCCCAGGTTTCACAACTGCCCGCCCAAACGTAATCGCACAGCAGGATTTCCCTTGCTTTGGTAACGGATTATGCACCTGGTCCAGATAATGAAGCTGGTACAGATTATGCACCTGGGCATTTGGCCGCTTAGTCTCAATCTTCGACTCAGAATTTCAGGGGCATTAGGATGCTCATCCTCTCACCCTGGACCCCTCCACACTCGTCAAACGCCCTCAAGACCAGCATGATTCTGGCCCCGTGCGTCCTCTCTCCAACCCCCCCCACTTTGACCAGGCCCAGGCAACTGTTTACTCGGAATAAGCATGTGGACCCACGGGGAAAGGCACACGAGAAGATCCTCCCCGTGGATGATGTGCGCAACCACAGGGATAGCCGGATGTGCACAGCCACTAGGAAAGGCGCGCGAGAAGATATGGTGCAGGAAGGTGAGGAGAATGAAGTGAAGACGAGACGAGAAAGATCAGTGAAGGGGAGGAGAAAGAATAGAATGTGGAAGAGATGGTGGAACAGGGACTTGGGAGAGTAGATTAGGAAGAGGGGAGTTGGGATACGAAGGTGGCAAAGTAGGAAGACGAAAAGGGTCAGGTGGAGGAGTGAATGAGCATCCCGTTGTCGTGCGTATCGGGCCCGCAGAGGGGACCCTCCCGGCCGCGTCACGCAGGATTCGGTATGCGCATACAAATAGGGAGCTTCGTCGCTCCGGCCAAATGCACCAGCTATACCTCACACAAGTCCCAACGACAGGATAGGGTCCCGCTAGGTACAACTTACCTCCACACGCGAAAGTTGTCGCCATCCCTTGGGTGGGCGTATCCCCGCCGAGCTACATGTCCACAATATGAAAGTTTTTATGTGCAATCGCAGAGGTGGACCAGCCGAGGGCATTTTCTCGTGCGTTGTAGCATAAGGGGAACGCGTTGTCACGCCTGATCGAACCCGCACACGAACCGACGCTTGGGGCACTAATCTCCCAAGCGTGGCACTACATCGGTCGACTAGGACATTGAAACTACCATGTGTCTCACTCTTTCACAAACATCATCTTCAGACATGACTCTCTATGCCTAGTCCCTTCCCAAACGTTCCAACCCATAACTTAGAGTGTGCACAAACATCAGGGTGTGGCCCGCACAAAAATTCATAAGAGTAACACACATGCGAAGGAGGCCACAACATTCAACCATGTGCACTCGCGCGTTCGACTATCGTGGCGACGCTTCACGCGTTACCCACAATCGCACGACCTTCCGTGGATTCCAGGGTTGCGTACGACACTCGAGTGTCGATCGAACACAAAGTGTCGTGAAGGAAACCTCCTTTACGATATAGAATGCCTGATGGATGAGTCGTTGAGCCCTCGTGGTGTCTCTGACCTTTAGGCAGCGCATGACGATGGGCAAAGCGTAATTGTCCAACATATAAGGAGGAACCCTTTTGTGCTGGTCCCTGCTGGACAGAAACCTGGAATGTCATAGACAAGGACCTCGAATTCCAGGTTCAGGACCAACGTCCAACTAGACAAACAAACAAGCAAGATCCTAACACTCCTCTCATGGTCCAAGATAGATATAGACGAAAGGGGTGTAGAAAGATAGAGAATAAAATCAGGTGATATGATCGTGCAGCATCAGGTTGTCCTTCTTATAGTCCCCTCATGTAGCTTGTCCATTGCACTCGACAAGCATGCAACCAAAACACCCCAGAGATCGCATCAAGCCCTTAGCAACTAACCTGCATAAAACATACACACATGCAGACGAAACCACATCACAATACACTAAACGGGGTCAACATCACCATTATTTGTATCTCAAGTCCCCTTAACTCACACCAAAGCCTCAGCCATTGTCTGATTTCCCCCTTGAATGACAATCAATCCCTTTGAGTATCCCCTTTTGAAATAAACTAAGTAAAATCACAGGGAACCCCTCAATCCCACAGGGCAAAGTTTTTAGGTTTGAGATACATAAATATGTACAGAGTCACAAACTGACCTGCTATCAATCGATAGCAGAAGTTAACGAAGTCCAAAACGTCTAAAACAACTTGCAGGTAGAGGTGACATGCGTCACAAAGCCAAAGCAGGGGTCACCTGTCGAATTAACGGAGATCAACTTCGTATCGCACTCCCAATTACTTAACGGTGACGTCTAGTAACGATATGAAAATAACAAAAATTTGGGCAACACTTCGTCTACTAAAGTGTGCTCGCAATATATTTACTAAACCAAATCTAAAGACAAAACTACTTACTCAAAGGCTACCTAAAAATAACCCAATTCTTTCGTTTTAGTAGAAATTTCGGTAGCACTTCCTTTAGCAAAGAAGGCTTTCATAATCTCTACTAACTCCAAAGATCAGACTAACAACTCAAAAGGCTTCCCAAAATTTTGACTAACTCTGTAATTTTAGCAGAAATTTTGGCAGCCTCTCCCCTAGGGAAGGAAACTCTCAGAATTTCTACTAACTCAGAAGCTAGCCAAGATCTGACCAAAGCAAGCATGCACAAAAAATAATACGAGAATAGAAATAAACAACTATTTGTTTATTGCTAAAGTACAAAGCGAGTTTTGACAGACTAAGCTATCAAACTAAAATGACAAGGCAGATGAACGAAAGATAGAATGCATAAACAAAGTTCAAAGCAATTGCACAAAGCAAAGGTCCATCATCTAAAAATTCATCTCTGCATTAATATGCACAAACCCGTTCCTCTAACAGATGTCTTGTATTTGAATTAAGGCGAGTTCTAACTTCTCGATTCGTTCTTATTTCAAACACATACAGACAATTAAGCATACCCAAGATTGTGCCTCAATAGAGGTAAGTCTAGCCTTTTCAAACAGGCAATTCAAAGTCAGCACTCCCAAGACTGTGTCACAAGTGACAAGTCTGGCCTTTCCGTAAGCAAGCCAAGGTTAGCACTCCCAAGACTGTGCCGCAAGTGACATGTCTGGCCTTTCAACAGGCAGACTAGGCAAAGCACTCCCAAGATTGTGTCACAAGTGATAAGTTTAGCAAGCAAGCCAAGGTTAGCACTCCCAAGACCGTGCCACAAGTGACACGTATGGCCTTTCAACAGGCAAACCAAGTAAAGCACTCCGAAGATTGTGTTACAAGTGACACACCTGGCCATTCAACAAGCAATCCAGGCAAGACACACCCAAGGTCGTACCACAAGTGACACGCCTGGCCGTTCATCAGGCCAACGACTGGACTTTGATAGCAAAGTGCCCGGATCAATCAACACGACATCATGTCCAAACCCATTCAAATCATCGCAAGCCGACATCGTGGATTCCATTTCAAGCAAAATGAAATTAAACAAGCATAGTAAATTCCCTCTGATTCAGTTGAAGTCCTAAATTACAGTCAAGGAAATATAAAAAAAGTCAAAACCCAGTCAAACTGAATGAAGGGTAGTATAGATAGGGGTATACGGGATCCTAGGGGAGATCGCGTCGGCCCACCTTACAGTCCCATGCCTCCAGGGTTCCGCTTGAACCTCGGCAGAGCTCCCGCAATCGGTGGGTCAACCCCCCCAACAGGCCTTGACGCGGTCTTGTGGGTTGCAACCCCACCTACCACCTTCCTCTCCCGAATCAACAAACTAGACAGAGAGGGAGAAGGATAGAGGGAGCAACGTCAGCCTCTCAAGGTGTAAGAAGGGGTCACTCAGACTTGCGCGGAGATGGCCTTGTTGCCTTCAGATCCTGAGGACTCAGCAATGGCGACCAATCCCTGAGAACAATCGAGGACCGAGGTTCAGTAATGCAGCCTCTCACGGTAATGCAGAAGCCAAGCGGACGTGACGTCAGCACAGTACTCCAAAACAAGCAGTAGTGTTCCGTCGCTGCTGATGGTGGCAACAACCTCACCCAGGCGCGCAGCAGCAACACAACTATCTCAAAACCTCAGCAACAGCCTTGAGGAGAGGGACACCGTAGTGCCTGCTGAAGGTTGCATCAGACTTGAGCCCAAGACCACAGCAGCAGCATCCCTTCATATTGCAGCAATACCACAACAATAGAACAACAAAACTCCCAGCGCACAGTCACGTCTTTCGAAAGCACAACGCCGATACTTAAATATACAACGGTAATACTTCAAAGACACAGCTGTAGCAGCCTCAAACCCCAACAGCATGAGGTAGTAAGAAAAAAGTCAGTAGCCGTGAAAACCGTAAACCAGCAGTAGTTTTAGTGAAAATGTAGCAGCAGCAACCTTCGTTTCAACAGCAGCAACCCTACAGACCAACCAGGCAACAGCCCCTTGACCAGTGGCAGCCGGACCACTGAACTCAAATCAGCAGCCAAACGGTGGTCTCCATATAACTGTGATAACCTTGACCTGGATATCCATAACAGTTTCCGAGTTCAGCAACAGCAGCGTACCACCTCGCAACCAGAGCGGACTACCACGACCTCTTGTGCAGTCCTTCAGCAAGTTTGAACCTCCTCTGCTAGCAAAACTGACCGGGCTAAATCACTCCACCAGCTGAGAATGACTTTGCAGTCTGTCAGGCCTGTATACTCCTATCTAGCTTCGTCATTCTTACCAATTAGTCGACCAATAGGTGAGTCTGTGAGACTCAAGGCTTTCAGCCGCGACCCCGGAGAACAAACAGCCCAAATGATACAACCAAGACAAGAACGCGACAACCACCCCGCACACCAGCACCTGGATCAAAAACAATGCCTCGATGAAGACCGGAATGGATACAACGTTGAAGAAACGCTGCAGAGATCAGCCACACCTCCGCTACTCGGGGCGTCGTTAGACACTCCTGGGGGACACGAAATCCCCAAGGAATTGTTCGTTCCACCTATCCTCGGGGATGCAACCCGAAAAAACAGTGAAAACGCTTGTAAGGAAATTCATCGGGCAATAGGAATTTCCCCAGCCATTTCTTCCTGTGCCCAAGGGACCTCGCCAGGTCCGGCCATCCGGTTCGTGCGCGCAAGAGACCTTGAGGGAACGTATCTTCCCATGTTCTAGCTGAGGATTTATTCTCATTTTGAACACTTGGTGAACGCAGGAGAGGAGAGGGCACACGGGTAGATAGACGGTACAGCCGAGAATCTGGATGGCGGCAGCACCCTATTAGCTGAAGGCCTGAAGCACAACTGTTTTTTCTTTCTTTTCTTTTTTTGTTTTCTGACAGGGCAAAGGTCCCACCCAGGGACCGGAGTTGTTCCTAGTCTAGTTCCAGGCTCTGAAGCACAAAGCTAAGCTGACGGGTGCTGTCAGATACGATTGTTCTCTTCCGGGTAGAATTGTGGCTCCCCCGCCCGAATTTTGGTTGAGCAATAAGGTGTTCTATCTTTCTTAAAAAAAAAAGGAAAAAAAAGTCCTCGGGCCACGTCCCCGAGGACAGGTGGAACCAAGGGCCCAAATTTCCTTTTGAGCCATTAGGAATCTTTCCTATTGCCCAAGATTTCAATAGGAGTGTCTAACGACGCCCTAAGCCCGCTGCCCTACTACGGAAAACGGATAAATCTTCTGCTAGAACATGGAAAGATACAATGATACAAGACCACCGACCGAGACAACAGCCGAGTCAATGAACACAGTCCTCCAGCAAACTGGACACTCGAGCGACCAGTATTACAACCCTGATGATGACGAACTGGATGGAGTCAAGCACATTGATGAAGATGAGTAGGATCATGTAGATGAGCACGACCACAACGAACAGCACTGCAATCATCCGCTGTTCCTCTGCAGCCCAAAAACCGCAAACAGAGGGATGGTTACAAAGCGGTAGTAGTTCCGAGATCGCAGTTGATGGGCAAGCCTATCAACACCCCTATCAGGAGGACCACAACGGGCACGACGAGCAATTCGACCAGGATCGCGACTGGTCGCGACTCCAACCACAATGTTATGATAAATGGAGGCCAAAAATGAGGGCGGGCAAGAGCTGCAATCCCCGCGCTCCTGCGTTCACCAAGTGTTCAAAATGAGAATAAATCCTCCGCTAGAACATGGGAGGGAAGATACGTTGCCTCAACAAGGTCTCGCTTGCGCGCACGAACCGGATGGCCACCACCTCTAAGTACAGGGTCGGTATCGCCGTAGTAGTTGAGTCTCCCTTTCTCTCTCCCTCTCTGCTCCCGGTCCAAGGTACCTGGCCCCCTTATTCCCACGTAGTTGAGTCTCTCTTTCTCTCTCCCTCTCTGCTCCCTGTCCAAGGTACCTGGCCCTTATTCCCACGTAGTTGAGTCTCGTTCTCTCTCCCTCTCTGCTGCCTGTCCAAGGTACCTGGCCCTTATTCCCACGTAGTCGAGTCTCTCTTTCTCTCTCCCTCTCTGCTCCCGGTCCAAGGTACCTGGCCCCCTTATTCCCACGGGATTCGCACGACCGCCCAACAGTACAGTCGAACGGTGGAGGCAGCAAGCTGGGATCGGACATGGCGGGAATTTCAACTTCGAGAAGTCTTAAAGTGACGACCACGTGGACGACCACGTGGATGATGAAGACGGCCATCAAGCACTTGATCATCAGCGTAATCTCTTGATCGCAATCAAGAGCAATCAAGAGATTGGACGATGATGACCATGTGACGACGACCTCCCCAATCACTTGCTCGGTGGCCGTCTTCATCATCGTAATCTCGATGATGACGATCTACACCAGGATCTCAGTGATCGCCATGAGGATCAGGAACATGCGGCGATGGGCCACGCTCCACTTACTCACCAAACGTGCAAAATGAGGATGTATCTTCTGCTAGACCCTCCACTACCACTCACCAAATGTGCAAAATGAGGATGTATCTTCCGCTAGAACATAGAACATGGGAAGATACATTCCCCAAGACAAGTAACACCCCCCCCCCTCTCTCTCTCTCTATCTATCTATCTCTATCTATCTATCTATCTATCTATCTATCTCGCGCGCGCGAGGGGCATTACAACGAGCACCACGGGATTCGAAGACGACAACCGCAAGCAGCTGTGGGTACGGCGAACGCGTACAACTTTGATAAGCAAGAGTGCGATCACGACAACTTCGGGGGTCTCCAAGAATAAAGGGGTGGAATAAAGGAGTGGAATAAAGGGGTGGTGACCAGCCCATCACGATGATGATGGCGACTAGTGGGATCAAAATGATGGAG